TCTGGAGATATTCAAGACCCGCCTGGACAAGGTCCTGTGCCCCCTGCTCTGGGTGACCCTGCTTGGGCAGGAGGGTTGGACTGGGTGACCCACAGAGGTCCCTTCCAACCCCTACTATTCTGTGATTCTGTGATTCTGTGAAAAGGAAATGGTTCTGTTTCACCTCGTTCCCTCTGTTGCCCTGCTGTGTTCCTGGTGAGGAGAAGGCAAGGAGAGCATGCCTGATTAGGAAAGCGGCTGAAGTTTTTCCCTGTCGTCACCAACTTTCTCCAGGAGAGCAAGGCAGGAGGTTTTAGGACGGGCAAGTTTTAGGCCTGCCCAACGCGTCTGTGCCGCAGCGAGTCCAAAGGACTGCGGCCAGGAGGCTTACCAGGCCGGCTCCCTATGGAATATCGATGGCCCATCCACCAGCACAACCCTCTTGCCCCGCTTCCCCTGCTCCACAGCATCAGGGTGAATAGCAGTTTGCTGCTGAATCAGCTGTGGGCCAGCTGAAGAGCCATGGAGCAGATTAACCCTTCTGGCAGGGCGCCCGGGGTGCTGCGGGTAGAGCAGATGATCGCACGCGTTCGCTGTGGGCCTGGGGGCACCAGTGAGGTGACCCCAGCTGCAGTCCTGCCCGGCGTTCGGTGTCTGTGCGGTGGAAACTCCTGCTTGTCTTTGCACAGGTCCTGCAGCCTGGTTTCAGCGCAAGGGCTGGAAAAGGGGATGCATTTGAAAGCAAGCCACAAATTGGGGTGTGAAATTGGGAGAGGCTCTTTGTTGTTTCTAGTTCAGGGGTGAGTTTTGCCTGGCTTTTCTGCCTCTGATCCCTTGTCTTTGTGCCTTCTCCCGGTGATTAGACATAATGATTTTAGGGTTCAAGCAGTTTCTCCTGGTGCTGTCTCTTTGCTACAGTGGTGCTGTACCAGGGTTAGGGTCTGGCATGGCACAAAAAGCTAGTCTTTGTCCCAGAACACTAACCAGCAAGTGCTACGAAACACAAGCAGAGAAGGAGAAAGGGCTGGGGGAAAATTTGTTCCTAGTAGCGGTCGCAGCTCATGAGCTGATTAAATAACCCAACAGGTAGTGTCCACAGTCGGCATGTGCCTCTGAAGGCAATGGAGGAGGATGAGAGTTGCTTGGGAAGGAAGTCCTTTTTTACCTGTAAAAGCCCAGGGATTTGCAAAGTTCTAAGTCTAGCTTCCACAGACTAAGAGGCAGCAAAAGCTGACCCGGCTCCAGCACCAGGGAGGGAACCAGCACTGCCCTGCAGTGGAAATAGGTTATGGAGGTGACCTGGAGAGGCCATGAACGTTGGGGTGTGATACAGACCCGATGGACCTGAGGGGGATCTGTGTACGCAGAGCATGGAGCCTTGGATGGTCGTGTTGGAGCGCAGGCAAGAACCGTTGTTGCAGTTGGCTCCAGACAGCGTGGATGCAGGGGGAAAGGCTCAGATTTAAAGCACTGGTAGCCCCGACAGGCAGCACACGATGGTTGATGGTGGGAATTAGGGGTGGAGAGGATTTCTGGGGACCAATTTGTTGTTAAGGTGGTTGTTGGATAATTCACAAAGACTGGAAAGACCGGAGAAGAGGATAAACACTGCGCCGTGTAGGACCCAATCCTGTGTTGCTAAAGCAAAGGTATTGGGTGAGGCACTGTCTAAATAGAACTCCTGGCAGGTATTGAGCTGAAAGCTGAGATTAGCCATGCGATCAGATATGGAAAACGTGCTCGGGTAGATGTTACTGTAATTGTAAAATAGTGCACGAAAAGGTATTTGCAAAGTCAATATTATTTGTGCAGAGGTGACAACCCCTTTTGCTTTGCGATCAGTGAAGAGAATTGGTTTAGGCCTGATGACAGGCATTCTTATCTGTTCTATTATTTTAACTGCCAGGTTTACAATCTTCATAAATTCCTCCATTGTTTGCTGTTAAGTAAGTTAATTTTCATGGAGGGGAAAGCTACTTGTCTAACTCGGACTTCTTAGAATATCTTTTTCTTTTCTGTTTTCTTTAGATATTGGTGGAGTGAGAGGGAGAGAAGCTTGCTACTGTCTGATCTATCTCATTAAAACCCCTTTTCACCCAGATGGATATTTAAATGTAGTAGCTTGTATAAGAATGGGCAATGACTCTGTCCACTATTAAACTTTGGACAGCTTGTAGATTACTTCAAAGGGTGTGAAATGCCTCTTGTGAGGAAACCTCTTCCTACCTCACTGCCTGCTCCTCAAATCCTGTTTGCCTTGGTCGAAGTTCAAGGCAGAGACTCACAATGGGTGGCATGTGGCATAATTAATGAAGAATTCACGTACGTGTCCCCGTTTAAAGTCCTTTCTCGGCTGCCATGAGTGACTTTGACAGGAGTCCCTGGTGGGGATGGTTGGCGGGGCCACCGATGGGATGGCTGGCCATCGAGTTCGTTTCTCTGATGGAAACCAGGGCCTCTTTCCAAACAAGCGTTTCTAAGTCTGAATTGCATTTTTAACTAGCAGAACAGGCTTTTTTTATTTCTAACTGTGTACTTAAGCTCTCTGTCTTAAACCAGAGAAGAGAGGGCCCTATCTGCTAAATATGAACCTCATGAAGCGTTTTCCTCTCTCGCCTTGCCCAGTTTTCAGTGGTGACTCGTCCAGCTGCCCTCAGACAGGCACCTCCGTTCCCGTGGTGCCCTGCACCAGCGTGGTGTACGCCATGAATCGCCGGGCCCGAGATGGCTGGGCTGCCTTCTCTTTCTCAGTGGCTGTCTGTGACACTGGGAGATGATTTTGGCTTAACGCCTGTCGTGGTTGAAGGGTTTTGAATTACTTGAGAGGAGACAGTAGCTGAGGGAGGGCTGAAAGATGATAGTCGATGTGGCCTCCGTTGTTTGGGCAGATGAGTTCCTGTAACCACCATGGGAACCCTGTTTCTAACTTGTCTGTCCCCACTGATCAAGGAGGGTTTGAAGCACGGGGTGATGAGAGGGACAGCAGCGGATGGCAAAGTCTGGAAGTGCAGTCCAGGAGCTAGCAGTAGTGAGGGGGCCCGGCTGGGTGGGGAGCTCAGGAGGCGAGTTTATCTCCAGGCATCGGGGAGCTGGGGAAAAGAAATACGAGGCTGCACGCAGCTTTGCTGTTTGCCTCTCTCAGGGTGTGAAGGGCAACACTTGCTTATTGTAAGAAGGTTCCCAACTCCTCTTTGGCCTAATGGAGGTCCAGGGCAAACGAAAGACGTTGCATTATTGGCATCTATCGCTGATGTTGGCCTTTCGGCCCCTTAACGTTTCATTGCATACTCACCTGCACGTGGTACTGTGAAGTCTCATGCATAATGACATTGGAGTTGGAGTATTTTTTCCTTTGCTCTGAATAAAAAAAAATAAAGAAGAAAATAAGCCTTCATTGTAGTGGCTATTTATTAGTATATCAGAGTCTGAGAATTATGGCTCTTGTGGTGGGGTGCTACAGTCTTTCTCATAGCCTCTGAGCTTCCAGCTTCAATCGGGGTATTGGGAATAATAAGACATAAACAATATTAACTTTTGTAACAAGGATTGGCAAGTCGGGTGTGCAGGTTACGCATTCACGCTGCATCCCTTAATGCTGCTGATCACTTGATTGCCAGATGTCAGCACCATTTGTGGAAGAAATTAAACCTAGCATAAAGGAAAGCCCCAGCCAATGAACCATTGGGGAAGCTTTTGGAAGGGGGCTGGCAAGGTGAGGAGTGGCTGGAGCAGGCTGGCAGGAGGCTGTGACGTGCACGTGGCAAGAAGAAAAAAATCCACCCACAACCCACCAGTTTGGACATAACAGCCCTTTGAATCATCCTCCAGAAGAAACCCTCTGCGCTACTGGGACGCTTTTGGTTTCCTTTTTTGCATTTCCTGGCAAGCAGTAAAGGGCTGTAGGTGCAGATAGGAAGGGCTGTAGGGATCAAGGCCAGCCAGTCAGATCCCGAGTTTCTCGTACAATATTTTTATGAGGCAACAAATCTTCATTACTTCCTGCATTTCTTACTGGAAAGCAGCAGTAAAGAGCAACTGGGGAAAAAAACTGCTTGGAATTTCATGAGGCTATTGAATATAATCCCATAAGAATTTACCTGTCAGCTATTACTCGCTGTTTAATTGGTACCTGTCCAGGGATTCCCTATAAATACATCGCCTGAGTAGCAGAGGAGTAACTGTCCAGGCCAGAGTGATCTGAGAGTGTCCAAGCTGAGAACGTCTTCCTCGCCAGCAGAGGACATCCTCTGATCTCTGCTTTGCTTCGAAAATGCAATGGCACTTTTATATGTTTTATATGTTTTACCCTTCTTAAAGCCTGCGTTAGAATATCCTGGTCTCTGTGGCAGCAGTCACAATTAAGGGGATTTCATAAAGCAGCAAACGTTAGGGCTCCTCGTGTTTTAAAGAAGTATATATTAATCTGAGTTTATTTGTGGTTAACTTGAAAGCTCTCGTTAATGTATTCTCAGGGATGTTGGCTGCTCTCCTGTTTTCCCCTTTTCTTTGAACGTGGAACACGTGGTCTCATTTAACAAATTTCACATTAGAGGCTGGTACCTAGAAAATTAATATCCTTGTAGGAACTCAGTCGGTCGGTTTCCAAATTTATATTAAGAAAAAAAAGGCTCTTTTGGTGTAGTGTGAGACCTAGGTAAAACTTTCCAAAACGTTTCTTTAGTTTATATTTTTAGCAGCGTGTCGCATTTTAATTGAACAACACTCCCCAAGGACTTACAAGAAACTCTGGTAGTATTCTTGATTGCTGAAAATCAAAGCTCTCCTTGTAATCAAGACTGACTTTTTTTTTTTAATAAAACAGATGGAAAACTGAAGAGAAGTCTGTTTCAGAAGCTGATTTGTAATGCTCTGTAACACTTCTCTAACACCCTTTAAGCCTGAGGTGCCGTCACCTTGGCAGGACACCCGAGTACTTGGTACTTGTCTCTCTGTGCCTGGACTGAAAACACAGCAGCGCACTTTGCCTCTGCAGCTGATTCCTGGTAGCCCTGAAGTGGCTGCTGCTCACAGGCAGAAATGATTTATTGGTGGGCATGCTGGCAGAGACTTTAATGGAGACTGCAGGTCTCCGAGCCGGTGCCTTTTACACCACCAGCGCCGAGTCAGAGGTGGAACGAGGACAGGTCGGGGGGGGAAAGACCTCAGACACCCAGCACAGCTCCCTGCTCAGCCATTAGCTTCCAGAGTGACCTTGAGTAAATTTCTTCATGTTTCAGCAGGGCCACTTCCCACCTTAGGCTCACATTGAAGGGTCAATGGCATTTTCTGTTTGCTCTGTGTCTTAATTGTAGTCTGCCCTACTTCAAATGTGGGGCAAGGTCTGGAAGAGGGCACGCGGCAACACACACCGCAGGGATTTGTGTCTGATGCGAGTAACTTTTTTTTCTCTCAGTAACCTCAATTTCCTCACCAAGCATTTCTCGTGTAAATAGATGACACTAATGGAAATGAGAACACTGCGTCTGTGTGGGATGGAGACAAATCTGGATTTTAAGACATCCCGTCTCCCCTTTTGAAAAGGGAGTGGGAAAGGCTGAAGTGGTTGGTCTGGAAACGAAGGGGTTTTATGTTAGGACAGGCAAATGTCTCCAGCCCTGAAAGGAAGGGTGCAGAGCCATGTCAGGAGCTGGTAGTCCCCAAGGAAGAGAAGGAATACCGGAGGGACGCTAGTGCAGGTCTGTGTTTCTGGTAGAACAGCCTAGCAGCCTGTAGGCTGGCTTTCTGGTGGGAGAGCAGCCCGTGGAGCTGTAGTAATGGTCAGAGCTAGGGCTGGTTGCCTACAGACTTTCTGGGGTCCCCTCCAATGCCTTTGCCTCATCTTCCAAGCTCAAAGAAGCTGCACATGTCATGGTCAGGGGAGATCTCAGCATGAACCTCAGAGAAAATGTTTGGAGAAGCCCTTGGAAATCTTGGACCTGTGGAAACCTCCGAGCTCTGCATAGCCCTGCTTCCCATCACCGGCACTCGGGGCCAGGCTCACTCAGAGGGGCCCCGTTAGCCATTTGCAGCCTTTTCCAGCACAGAAGCAAGCCCCGGGGCAGGGAGAAAACGCAGATGTTCCCCCTCCCTCTGATTCTCCCTGGGGAGATTTCTGCATTACCTTTAAGAGTCACAGAACTAGAACAAAGTGCCTCTATTTTGTCTCAGGATGCCATTCAAGTGACGTCCCAGAAGCTGAGCAGGGCGAGGAAGGAGGCGTTTCTGCATACTCTCTTTCCTGTCCCTTTCTTTAGGATGTCTGCTTGTTCCTTCTGAAATCCTTTCTGTCTTGTTGGCTTCTACCTGGTCCCCACACCCATGGAAACTTTTATTTTTGTGTTTCCTCCTGGCATCTGCAAAGATAACCACGCAGCCTGAGAACAGCCAGGCTTTCCGGGGACAGCAGGGTGCCAGAACACTGAAATCTCCTCTCCTAGCATTTAGTTTTGATTTAAACACAGGGAGAAGTAGAGATCCAGACTGCAAATCACAAAATAGTCAGACTTAGGCCACATCTATCCGAGAAATGTGAGTGCTTTAAAAAAAAAGAGGGTTTTTTTGTTTATTTACTGCAAAGCAATGTGGTGAAACATTGCAGAACTTTCTGTGGATGCATCATTATTTGTTGTAGCTTAAATCTGGCTCTGGTTATGCTGGGCTGATCCGAATATGCCGCGCACAGAACGATGCCTGCAGGGAGATCTGTGTTCGACTCGACTCTGTCATCCTTTCTGCTGGAAGGGTGAACTCCCTTGGCCAGGAAGGACTTCAGAAGACAGGTCGCTTGTCCTGGGTGGCTCCTGCACTGCCCTTCCGCGCAGCCCTGTCCTCTGCCTGCTGAATTTTGTATGAATGAATGCTGGCACGATAGCAGCAGTAGCTAATTTCCTCCCGGTTTATCTGACACCTCTCCTGCTAGGACACTTTGCATTTCTACAGCGTCTTGCAATGGAGAAGACCCGAGGGCACCGTAAAGGTGTTATCCAAGTATACCCTGGCCCCAGGAGGCAGAGAATTTCCATAATCCTCATATGATAAATAAGCATTAGAGGACCATAGCCATGATTTTCCCAACGTTAGATGGCAGCTGCTGTCAGAGCTTTGACACCAGTCGGCACCTCTGTTTAAATGAATCGTCCTTTGCTGTGCCCCTTAGAGGCTGTAGCGGTGGAGGGTGCTGAATGTGACATGGGATGGGCTGCAAAGGGCAAGGATTGCTCCAGGGCTGTGGCACTAGTACAGCAGACATCGGAAGGTGGCAAAAGCTGGCATGAGCCCACGCGACCACCACTGCACTTTTTCCCTTCTGTCTGTCAAGAGAGCCAAAAAGATGGGAAAACAATACAGCTTTGTCCCTTGCTTTTGGTGTCTGGCAACAAAAAAACCCCTCCGAGCACGGGGATCCTGTCTCATCTGGAGGAAGGGTGGTTGCTGTGGCCTAAAGAGCGACGATGGGTACTTCAGCGTCACACCGTGGCTGAGCCCAAACACTTGTATGAATGGCATGGGTGGTCCAGAAAGTTCTGAATGACTTGCACGTGGATGCCACGTGGGACGTGCACACTCTAGTAAATTGTCTCAGCTCTTGGCTCTACGAATTTGTCCCAGTGAACCCCAAGACACACCTTTCGGGGAGAAAAAACTAAAAGGTTCTTTTGCTGAATTCCGTCCAGCTGTCCTTTCCTAGCCAGCTATCTTTAGTCTTGCCTCGTACTCAGAGGTGTGGGGGAAACTGCAGAGCTGTTTTCTGAAGCATGTTATCTGTTGCAATACCTGATGGATACACAGTGCTGTGGGAATGATGTTTCCACCGTCACCAGTGGCCACAGTCGGCAATGGAAAAAGCTCAGAGCACTGCAGAGGTAGCGAGGTGGATTTAGCCCAAGGGCTCAAAACTGGGTGCTGGGCTGAAATCCTAGTGGTGAGGCTACAATCCTGGCTGGAAGGGAGAGCGTCCTGTTTGGCTTTATGTTAATGGGTGGAAGGGATGAGAGTGAGTAATAAATTAGGGGAAAAGAAGTGCGCAGGATCGATGCACGTCCTGGAGGGGTGGGGTTATTGGCTTCGTCCAGGAAGCCAAACCACATCTTTGGTGCCAAGTTCCCTCCTCACTTCCATGCAGCACCCTTTTTGCAGGGAGTTAGGGCGTGAACACACCCTTTGGCCCAAGAGTGTGCGCAAGAGACCGGCTAGCGGGATGAACTCTGCTTGCTGCGACCAGCTTAGAGCTGAAATAACTTGGTTAAAGTCTCCAGGGATGCAGAGCAAAGCAGGGCAGAAGTGGGCTTGTCTCTCTTCATGCATGGGCTCTGCCAAGCCAGCGGGGCAATGTCCCAGTGGTACCAAGGGTGGGAGAAAGGGTGCCCGCAGGGGTAAGACACCCAACGGGGCGCCTGGGCTTCGGCCCTGCCTCTGCTGCCGGCTTCTGAAATGGTCTGTGGATATGCAGAGGAGGGAAACGGGCTCCTCTCGGGTTCAGCGAGACCCTGAAGCAGGCAGCCAAAGGATGTTCGCTGGGAGGCATGACCAAAGCATCTACCGTGGCCGGCTGTGCTGGGGGACCACACCTCTCCACGCAGAAAACACTTGTGCCTCTTCACCTGGGGTAAACAGGCTGAATGGGGTGTGCTCCTGCCATGCCCTGTTTTCCCCAGATTCTTAGGGCATTGTAGCATTTTTTTTCTGCTCTTTTTGTGTTTTCTTAAGTGTCTGTGAGAGGGCAGAACGGCCTCGGGACTGCCGTGCCACTACGTGTTGCGGGTGTTTTGGGGCATTTGAGCCCTTCTTCCCTGCTGCTGGCAGGGGGGGAGCGCCTGTGGTGCTGTGCTGTGCTGCACTGGGGCTGCCCCAGGCAGGATCCCAAAGCTCCGTCCCAAGATCCCATCTCTCTCCATCTATTTACACTCTAAACTGCTTGGAACAAAAACTCTTCTTGCTGTGCGCCGGGGCCAAAGTCAGTTGTGGTGTAAACAGGTGCCTCTGTCACAAAAGCAGCCAGTTACACCAGAGCTGCGATGCCTCCAGCCTCCCCTCTGTGCACATCTGTCTCTGATTAATCAGCGAGTTTTATCACACAGGATCCTCCCCCTCTCTCCCCGTATTTGTTTTCAGCCGCTGCTGGGCAGAAGGCACAGCAGAAAATGTGGGGGATGGACAAGTCATGTGTGAAAATCTCCGTAAGGAACTTAAGATGTATCGGATTAGGCTTTGTTTTTATTGGCAGTACCAGACCAAGGGCATCTCCTCGATTCCCTGCATCACACGAGTAACCTCTCTGGCCTCCAGGTCCGTTAGAACAGCTACTGGAGAGAGTCCAGCGGAGGGCTACAAGGATGGTGAGGGGACTGGAGCATCTCCCCTACGAGGAGAGGTTGAGGGAACTGGGCTTGTTCAGCCTGGAGAAGAGAAGGCTGCGAGGGGACCTTAGAAATGCCTACAAATATCTGCAGGGTGGGGGTCAGGAGGATGGGGCCAAGCTCTTTTCAGTGGTGCCCAGTGACAGGACAAGGGGCAATGGGCACAAACTGAGGCACAGGAAGTTCCGTCTGAACATGAGGAAGAACTTCTTCCCTCTGAGGGTGACGGAGCCCTGGCACAGGCTGCCCAGGGGGGTTGTGGAGTCTCCTTCTCTGGAGATATTCAAG